TGGTCAATTTCGTCTTACATTCTCATGCGGTATATTCTCAATCCCCGCTGTCGGAGATTGTGACTCGCGATAGCAATTGCAGGATGAACGGTATATAAGCCGGAGAATCCCATGTTCGTGGTCCGCGTTCAACTGTGCCGTCTAACGCGATTCGTTGTCTCCCGCAATCTACTTCGTCTCACCGGTGATCTACTTCGTTCCCCTTTGTGATCGACTTAATTCTACGCTTGTGCCCTGTAACTGATATCCCGTACGTGTAATAAAACTTCTCTTACTTTGGTCTGGCCCGACACCTTCCAGGGGTAATTTCGATCTACTGACATACGCGGTACCTAGGTTCAGTAACCACACTTTTTCTAAACGATTACTGAAGAAGACCATGAAAAATAATTGCTTTGTAGAATGCGCTTAGTTGTGTAAGTATTTGAATCAAAAATTGATAGTTTTTAGTTGTTATTCAACCTTGCTATACATTGTTTCTTCTTTAACATGTTTGAAACTTGATATATTTGTTTTTAAAAAAACTTGAAAAATATTTTTTGTATGGAGATGGGTGATAATTTGCTCATCCGGTATAAAATATTTATTGATTTTGCAGCGCTGTTGTTGTTTTTCTGTGAAGTGTCGTGCTTCCTTTACTGATACATCTTTTATTCTATTTTTCAAATTAATGGCTTTGCAAACTTTCGTTTCTTCCATAGGTCCTCTCCCTGAATTTGCCAGTGTTTCAGCAATCTCCTGATGTGGGGGATTTGGGCGATTTCTCTCCTCCCTTCCCTCTTCCCCCCACCCTCCCTCGCCCTCCTATCAGCTCTAGCCGCAGCGACCGGAGGGAGGAGGGGAAAGAAAGTACGGCTCCCGGGGGGAGAGGAGGGGAGGAAGGAAAAGAGTTTTCTTCACATTTAACGCTGCTACTTGGACGAAAACTCCATCCCTCCCCTCCCTCCCCTTACCTCCCGTCCAATCTCCTCCGCACCTCCTCTCCCTGAATTTGCCAGTGTTTCCCCTCTCCTAGTCTGGAGATCAAGGTGCCTCATAATCTCCAACTCTAGGCTGCATGTGAAAGGATAATACGGCGATTTCTCTATAGAACGAAATTATCCAAAAACGCATGATTGCACTGGCAAGCCCGGTGCGTTGCAGCCTGGTTACCCTGTGTTTCATTTTGCTCTTCTTGAGTTTTTAAAGAGTTTCCACTTATCTGACCGTTGTTTTATAGACTCAGTGGGATATATTTTTGGCAAGTGAGGCACTGTAGAGGAGCCACGATGAGCGCACTAACAGCACTAAAGTTAAACGAGCAGGTATGTTTCGTAATTTAGAAGAGGGTTATTCAAATGAAAACAATGCACGGACGTATTTAATAAATTTAGTTTTCAAATTTCGTAAATCTGTTCACAAATATTTAATTCACTTAATAATTTTATTTAATATTTCATAAATCATTTATTCGTTTCATAGTTCATCCATTTAATTCATTTAATAAATATTTCATATTTATTAAATGACTTTTTTCATAAAAATAAATTCATATTTCATAAAAATTCAATAAATAAATTCATATTCCTATTCTATATTTCATAAAAATGTGTAATAAAAATTCATTAAAAAAATTCAATAAATCAATATTTCATAACTTGCAAGTGTTCCTGAAAAATACCACTGTCTTCTTGCTGTCGGGTATGGCGCAGTGGCAAGTACTGCTACCATGCTGCGGGAGATCGAAGGTTCGACTTCGCACTATGGCACCTGATTTCTGCAAGATCCCTATCGATGATAATTAATATTGGCACACGCCAGGAAATTAAATCTACCATCAGCTTGCTTGCAAGCAATTCTTGAAAGAACCGTCGACGGTGTCGCGACGAGTGGTTGCTGTTGGCAAATGCTACCACACAGACTACTTCCGAGTGCCTTGTTCTTCCATGAAGATTGGGTGCCGAAGGGGCTTTCATTTTCCACTGCCATTCTGCTGATATGTGCGGAAGCGTAATTGTAAAATTTTATTCCTAATTTCAAAGAGAATGGAGCTTGCAAAATGTGAAATACTCAGAAAGAATAAAAGAAGCGGACAAAGGAACTGTCCAAGGAAGTGCATTTTTTTATTTATTTTTTGGTATTTTTATGAGTTATTTTTTTTTTTTGTGCGTTTTCTTGGACCTTTTTCTCTACCTTTTCAGTGATTTTTAGATTGTTTCAATGCGAAAGCCAGCTGTGAAGGCGCGTTTACTGGTGTATCGTCGGCTGAGTAGAATTCAGAAAACTCTCCAAAAATCCCACGGTGAGAAGAAGGCTCGTAAAGCAGAGCGCATCAGCGAAGAAATCAAAATTTGCAAGGTAAATTTTCTAGAACAGTCTTCCTTATTCTCCAAGGCTATTTCAGAACTGTGCCATTAATCGCTCATTTCAATGTTATTTTTGTTTATTTTTTCCGTCCGATTGCCGAAATCACTGTCATAAATA